TATATTTATTATTTTGAACAAAGGTTAAATGTTATTTCACAAGTTTCAAAAAGTGCCCCCAATTTTTTGAAAATGCCCTGGATTTCAGTCAGTGGGGGCAAAAATTGCCCCCCAAAAAATATGTAAATTTCCTACCCTGTGCCATGGCAATGTTTTTTTTCATGTTAAAAGAAAATAAAGGTTTCTTAAAAATCTCTCTCTCTCTCTGAGTGGAAGGAGTGTGGAGTTGACGGAGCGTGTTCGAGAGCGATTAACACTGATTTTTTTCTGGTATTTTTTTGTCACTAGTTAACGTTGGATGTGATGGTGTATCTCACGGTGTTTGTGTGAACATTTAGCTGGTTTTGGGGTCTTTGTGAGTGGTTTCAGTCGATCAGTGCGTGCTGTCGGCTGCTAAACGCCACCATGGACATGACCGACCTCACGAGGAAACACGGCATAAAGATCCCGCCGACTTTCCCGGTGTCAGTAGAGGAATGCAGCCTGGCTGTGGGTGAACTTGTTGGACATAGCAGCGTTGCGTCCGCTGCGCGAATGAACAATGGCGTGGTCATATTTTTAGACACCATCGGAAATGCGGAAGTGGTGATTGACAACCGAATCGAGGTGGGCGATAACTTCTTCCCCGTTTACCCTCTCTGCACACCGGCTGTGAAGGTAACCGTGTCCAACGTCCCACCGTTCATCAGAGATGAAGACATAACCAGGGAACTATCAAGATACGGGAGGATAGTGTCTAAGGTGAAGAAGGTGTCCTCTGGGTGCAAGTCTCCTCTCCTGAAGCACGTGGAGTCTCACAGGAGACAGCTGCTGTTGATCCCAAACAACAGGAGCAAGGTGCTCAACCTAGTGTTCAAGGTGAGAGTAACCCTAACCCATAGAGACCAGAACCAGAAAGGTACTGAGGAGGGCAGAGGGGACAAGCAAGGCGGACAGGAGGGGACAGGTGGGGTCCAAAAGGGGAGGGAGGAGGGGACAAGTGGGACCCAGGAGGTGAGGGTGGAAGAAACAAGTGGGGTACAGGAGGTGAGAGAAGAGAGGAAAAGTGGGGGACAAGAGGTGATGAAGGACGGGGCAAGTGAGGTCCAGCAGGTGAGGGAGAGTACTGGAGGACAGGTGGAGACAGGTAGGGAGGTGGACATGGAAGCAGACGAGGAGCAGCTCAAAACCCCTCAGCTGAAGAGGAAACAGAGAGGAGACAGCGGAAGCACACAGGCGAAGAAAGTGGCAACGAAAGAAGTGGAGGAGCAGCAGAGTGTGAGTCCAGTCTGGAGGAAGACGCTGCTGCTGACATTTTTACAGTGTACAGCGTGGAGGAGATAAAGGAGTTTCTGAAGAGGAGTAAGAATGTGAGAGGAGCCAAAGTGGAGGACTACCTCTCTGACAAAGAGAAGCTCTCCAGCTCTGCCAGAGCTCACATGAGGAGCAAGGACAGAGGAGGTCTCACGAAGCAGGAAGGCTTCAGACTGAAGAAGACAGTTCACAAAGTGGACAAAGAGCTGAACAAAGATGGAGCTAAGTGAGAATAAGATCTCACAGTCCAAAGACAATCAAAGACAAGTTTATGTTTGTTGGACATTATTTTGTTTAACCGTTTTAAATGATAAAGAAACATGTTCAAAGAAAATAAAGGTTTTCTAAAAATAAAAAAAATTAAAAAAAATCTCTCTCTCTCTCTGTACTTCTGCTTTCTGTTCTGACTGTTTTTCACATTAACTTCTCTGAACTGGGAGGGGCAGGAAGAGGAAGTGTGTGTTATATTATTTATTATTTCTCAGTTTGATTCTCAGGAAAGTGAAACATATTAAATATTAATATTATATATATGTAGAAGGGGTTCAATGGTCTGGCGACAGTCAGTGATCAGCTGATCAATAAATAAAGAGCTCAGTGATGGAGAGAAATAAAGAGACCTTTGTCTGGGGAGGGGGGTGAGGTCATGAGACAGAGAGAGGGGGAGGGAGGATAGGAGGACATGAGGTAGAAAAGAGGCAGAAACATGAAACCAGAAAATCTCAGTAACAATAAAGACTCAGAAAAGTAACAGGTAACTGATCTGAGTCATGTGACAGGAGGGAAAGAGTTCATCTACTTATTTAACTGATAGAACTGATCGTCTTCATCATCTTGTCTGTTTGGTTGTTTCTGGATCTACAGAGGCCCTGAACTCTGGATTCAGATCCTCCCCCTGTGAGAAGATGTAAAATGTTCCGCCGTCTCCGTGTTTGAAGATGTAAAATGTTCCGTTGTCTCCGTGTTTGA